CTTCCTTTCTCCCTCCCTCCCTTCCTCCCTTATTTCCCACCTTCCTTCCTTCCTTCCTCTTCTCAGAACATCTCATAATTCTTCTTCTGAAGTAGGAAAAACTGAGTGACAAGAGAAAGCTGTTTTAAAGTGTGAATGTAATCTAATGAATCAGTCTTGGTCTTGCCTCAAGGGTATTGGGTAATTTATAGGGCAAAAAATTGAGATTTGGGAGGGAACTTAGAGAACATCTAGTCTAACTAGTCCAACTTTCTCATCTTACAGATGAAGACTTGAGGCCCAGACAGGGGAAGCAATTTATCCAAGGTCACGCTTGTCTAAGTCCAGGTCCTGTTTCCAAATACGCTGCATCCTGCCACCTGGTGGCAGATCTGGATATTAGAGACTCTGTAGAATACTACTATCCAATGTAGAACATGAGAGCTATAAGATGCTGCAAGATACCCGCAAGTGCCCCCAACCATTTAACAAAATAAATAAAAAATACAATAAAGCATAGATAACTTTACATTTTAAGTCCAAGTCAACATGCAGCCACAGGGAACCTTACGAATGCGTTAGTGGCCTTGTAATGGCCGCCATTTCTATTTGAGTTTGATTCCACTACTGGAGAGATCTTTCTTCTCATGCGCTTCCATTTCCTAAAAATCTTCAGGCATGGAGTTCATAGGTCACTAAGGTTTAGAGCTGCAAGGGCCCCAAGAAGTCACCTAGTCCAACTGCCTCATTTTACAGATTTGGATAGACCGGTTTATATAATGTAATAACTCCATTCCATTGTCCTTTGCCCACAGTGCTTGGTAAACTCATGGCTGTCCCTATTAATTAGCTGACTTTTCAGAGGTAGGTGGCTAGCCCAATAACTCAAATGATATAGGTGTTCATGTTTTCGTTTCTTTTTAAAATTAATTTTTGTTGGTAGTCTGTTTTTACTTCAGACTACTGTGTTTTCACTACTATATTTTTACTCCATATTTCAATGTCTACCTAATAGCCACTCCTTATTTTGTTGTTCAGTTGTGTCTGACTCTTTGTGACCCTATTTCGGATTTTCTTGGCAAAACTGGAGTGATTTGTCATTTCCTTCTCCAGCTCTTTTTACAGATGAGGGACTGAGGCAAACAAGGTTAAATTACTTGCCAAGGGTCACACAGCTAGTAAGTGTCTGAGGCCAGACTTGAAATCAAGAAGATGAGTCTTCCTGACTTCAGGCCCTTGCACTCTATCCTCTGCACTACCTAGCTGCCCAGCCACCCCTTATAACAAAGAATAAAAAGGAAGAGAAATAGCAGACTAGCAACTAATCAAGATTTTAAATAAGTCTGATAGTACATGCAATGTTCCATATTCTAAAGCTCCCCCTTCTCCCATACCTGCTTATATTTCTTTTTTTGGATCAAACTCAGTCATTATAGTTTTGCAGCCTTCTCCAACTATTTTGTTGTTGTTTTATACTGTTTAAGTCATTTTGTGTATTGGTTTCCTGATGCCACTGTTGTTATGCATCAGTCAATATACATCTTCCCCATGCTTCTTTGTATTCATCGTATCCATCAATTCTTATAGCCCAGTAATGCTCCATTTCAGTTAGGTACTACCACTTGTTTAATCATTCTCCAAATGGTGAATAATAGACATTAACTTAGAAAATGCTTTATGTGCATATTTCTAGCACTTTGCACAGTCCTTCCTCTAACTTTTTACTATTTAGCTCCTGCTGTGGCAAGGCAGGATAGGTCTTGTGACCATATGTTCTGGATTTTTGGAGATAGACCTGATTTTGAATGTATTATCCTATATGACACCATGTTGTTGTTTAGTTGTTTCAGTCGCGTCTGACTCTTCATTTCCCCATTTGGGGTTTTCTTAGCAAAGATACTGCCACCTAGCTGTCAATGTGGCACCATTAATACCTGTGTGGGAAGTCCTTCCACAAATGTGAATTGCATCCTATTTATAGCTTATAGTTTTAGAAAGTTGTTTGATGGTCAGAGAGGCTGAGAAACAGTTTGGTAAGGTGGAAAGAGCACTGGATTTGTAGTCAGATGACCTGGGTGCAAGTTATGGTTTTGCTATTTACTCCCTGTGACTTTGGAACAATCATTTCATCTCTCTGGGTTTCAATTTCTCTTTTAGCTTTGATTCTGTGTAAGAAAAGTTGAATTATTTGCCCATGGCCATATATCTAGTAAGTGGGAAAGGTGGGCTTTAAACCTAAGTCTTCCTGACTCCAAGACCAATATTACGCATTACTACGTAGTGCACAATCTCAGGAGCTCAATGTCTCATATCCTCAATTTAAAATCTTTTGTCCCATTGTCTCCATAAATTAGGGAAATGCCTCAGAAATCCTAATATGTTAGCAAATGGTATTGGAATGAATCAAGTCGTAGGAACCCAGGATTTAGAACTGGAAGTTAGTGTCATAGTGTCAAAGAATCCAATAACCTCATTTTTTAGATGATGAAACTGAAACACAGAGAAAAGTGTCTTGCCCAAACCAGTAAGTATTTTAGTAAAAGACTGACATGTGATTAATAATTGAAAACCACAAAAGTTAGAGATCACGGGTTGAAGAAATGTTGTACTTCTTAAAAACAGGTGTACAATAGCTCACATTATGTGTCTGCAATGTGTACATATATAATTTTATGGTGCAGGAGGCAAGATGTGGGTGGTGGTGGTGATGTCTGTATGTTTCTAATTGTAAACCCCAAGACCACAGTATGCTGTGGATTGATGCAAAGACCATTAAGATTGTCCTAATTTGAAAGATACAGATTAAAACATACACACTTTTGTCAGATTTCTGGGTTGGAGTGAGGAGTCTGGATGAGTCAATCATCTACCATTCATTAAGTGCCTATTATGTGCCAAGCACAGTGCTAAGTGCTGGCCATGTAAAGAAAAAGGCAAAAGACAGTCTTTACTCTCAAGGAGCTCATATGCAAACAGCAATGTACGAAAAATTACATACAAGATAAATTGGAGACAATCAGAAGAAGAAAGGTGCCAGAATTAAGGGGAATCAAGAAAGGCCTGTAGAAGGTGTGATTTTAGCTGAGACTTAAAGGAAACCAGGAGGTAGGGATGAGGAGGAAGAGTATTCCAGGCAAGGGGGCACAGGATGAACATTACCTGGAGTCAGAGATGAAGTGTCTTGTGTGAGGATCAGCAAAGGAGGCCAGTGTCACTGGACTGAAGAGCATGCCCAGGAGGATAAGGTGTATGAAGACTGGAAAGGTAGGAGGGAGCTAGGTTTTGGAAAAGCTTTATAAGATAGATGGCGTGGGGTGGGGGCAGCTAAGTGGCACAGTAGATAGAGTAGTGGGCCTGGAGTCAGGAAGACTCATCTTCCTGAGTTCAAATCTAACCTTAGACACTTACTAGCTGTGTGGCCCTGGCCAAGTCACTTCATCCTGTTTGCCTCAGTTCCTTATCTGTAAAGTGAGAAGGAAATGGCAAATCATTCTAGTATATTTGCCAAGAAAACCCCAAATGGGGTCATAAAGAGTCAGACATGACTGAATATAAGCCAAATAAAAGGTTTCATATTGGACCCTGATAAGTATACTTGTAGCACTGGCCTTGAAGTCATAAAACCTACCAAATATTCTAGGCTCTGAGCTGTACCAGCTGTGTAACCTTCAACAAAATACTTAGGTTCTCTGAACTTCAGTTTCCTCATCTGTAAAATGGGGACAATAATGCCAATCTTGCTTACTTTACCAGTGAAGATTAAATGAAAATGCACTGTAATCTTTTACAGTTGTAAGGCATCATTGTGATGTCAGGCAAGGGCTGCCCTGCCTCAGGGTATTAACTGACTGACTTTATTCAGGTTCCATCTCTGAACTCATCTTTCTGGTGGAATTTAAGTGTGCTTGCCCCTCAAGATGGCTGCAGAGGCACGCTCGAGTGTTGGGACCAGGACCCAGCCTTGTGGCAGGGCTGCCATCCGGATGGGTGGGCCTCCACTCACCTCGCAGGATGGCTCTATTTGGACAGCGTTGTTTTCCTTCCCGTCCAGGCAGAACACAGGTCCTGGCCTGCCATGGCTCATTTCCTTAGCACAGAACAACAAACCTAAGTAGGAGCTGCTGCTGCTGTCCAGGGGGGAAGGGTCACAGGGTCATGGAGCCCAAACAACCCCTGGCTTCTTCCCTTGTACCCCTTTTACATTTTTACAGCTTGGGTTGTTAGAGAAGCTAGAGCCTGTTGGGCTCATGGGGTGGAAGGTGGGGGAGGTAAATCTCCTTAAATGAGGTGCTCTTATTTCTAGTTTAAGAAGCTTTGCTTAAATGGATCCTTCTTCATTCAGTTTGCTCCAGAGAAGAACAGGAAAAAGGAGTGCTGACCCTGGAGTAAGAAGGCCTATGTTATCAGGGGCGTGCTGGGAAATGTTTAACCACTGTTTCTCTAGGGAAAAAAAAAAATGTACCACAGGGGCAGGTAGGTGGTGCAGTGGATAAAGCACCGGCCCTGGAGTCAGGAGGACCTGAGTTCAAATCTGGCCTCACACCAAACACTTATCACTTACTAGCTGTGTGACCCTGGGCAAGTCACTTAACCCCAATTGCCTTAAAGAAAGAAAAGAAATGTACCACAACGCACTTTTAATTTAACCTGCATTATTATTACTTGTTGTTTTGCAAGACAATTAGGGTTAAATGACTTGCTCAGGGTCACACAGCTAGTAATTGTCAAATGTCTGAGACTGGATTTGAACTCAGGTCCTCCTGACTCCAGGGCCAGTGCCCTATTCACTATCTACCTAACTGACCTAACCTGCATTATTAACATTTTTTTCACCACTTTCCTAAGTCTAGACAATCAACAAAGCAACAAATCAATCCTCGATTTGTAGCTACTCACATTGAAAATTTAACAATCAGCTCTTTGGAGCTGGTTCAAGGTGTCTCCAGCATACTCCTGCCTGTGTTCAAATCCCGCTTCTGACCTCACCTGGGTGATATTGGGCAAGTCAATTCACCTCTCTAGGCCTTGGTTCACTCATCTATAAAAAGAGAAAGTTGTACTCAATGACCTCTGTAGCTATGATCTTTGTCATTCCCAGAGAGGAATGAAAATGAGTGAATTGTCTTGAGTCCCCTCGCCACCTCCCCACCCCCATGCTCAGCTCCTGAGATTGAGGAAAGATTCAGGGCCAGGGCCTTACTGGACTGCCACTGGGTATGCCACTGACTGTCTGGTCACCCCTTTCTCAGTGACTCTCACCCCATCTTTTAGACTAGCAGATTGTTACCACCAGGCACTGGTGAAACTCTCCCACCCCTTTTTCCTTTATTTTAAACTGAGTCTTCTGCTCTAGCAAAGCCTGCTTCCTCTGTTCTGTTTCTTAGTATGCTAACTCTGGGTGCAAGGCCTTCATTCCCAAATGCCCTTAGAAAAGTGCGCAGGACTGCAGTGGCTACCCTATCCTCCAGCGTAGCCAAAGCCTGGGAAAGGGGCGTGTGTTCCTTTAAGAGGCTGGCCCAGGAGTGGTGGGGTTTGTTCTGTGCTGTTTCCTTTCTGGCCATTCAAGAGCCCCAAACCTATCCCGGAGCCCTCTAGCCTCATTCACTGAGCAGGGACTGTGGGGGCAGTCTCACAGGAGCTGGACTGGTAAGTGGAAGTCTCTGAAGTCCTGGCCCAGGAAATCCAGGGAGGCACCTTTACAAACCTGTATTTTTTTTTACAACCTTTTTTTTTTCTTTAGTGAGGCTCCCTTACTCCTTACCCCTGGTTCAGGAGAGGCTGGGCTGGGATCTGAGACAAGATGCAGGACAAGAATGGGGTCTGCTATTTGGACACCAAGACATTCAGAGGCAGAGGGAGAGCCTCCTAGGTTTTGGGACAGGGAGCTGGGCTCTGGGACGGGGCCTCTTTGGGTTGGAGGCACAGTGTGAGACCTGTTGCCAAGAATGAAAGATTGAGACGGGGATCTTGGGGGGACAAGTTAATTAAAGTTTAGGGCAGAGGTCCAGCTGACTACCCAGGGCAGAGTAAAAGGGTTTGTAGTCTGCTGTAATATTCTTCAGGGGGAGAAACTGTTTGCTGTGTGCCAGTTCCACAGAAATTTTCCTGATGGAGTGAGGTGAAGAGGTAAGTTGGTAGGATTGGGGCCAGGTACCGAATGAGGGCTACCTTTAGTCGTTTGGTGGACCCTGAGGACTGCTGTAGGGGTTGGTAGTGCTGAAAATAACCCTTTTGGCTGGCCTGGGCCAACCTGGGACCTCCACCCTAGCTCCTCTGACAGTCCAGGAGACCCACGTTTTTCAGCCTGCCTCATTTGAAGAAATAAGGGAGGGACAGCAAATGTGAGTGAAACTGTGATCCAGAGCCAGAGAAAGGGGAGAACACAGCTTCACGCTTCCCTGGTTTCTCTGGCCCCTCTCCTGGAGTGCCCTCCAGCAGTGGGAGGGGCAGGCAGATTGCTCTGTGGGGCATTAGAGGAGATGAGGGCCAAGAAATCTTGTCTCTGTCAGAAAGTGGCACTTGGTGGGAGGCCCCTGGAGTGTCTCTATTAGATAAGCAGAGGTTCATCTAATGGACTTTGTAGCCTGGAGGATCCTTGTCTTGTGGATGAGGACATCTAGCCCTTATAGGAAGAGGCTTTCCTGATGTATGGGGGAGGCTGTGGTTCCTTTGTGGGACTCAGGGTAAGCACACAGGGAATGTCAGGAGGGATTGTGATTCCCCCTCTCGGCTCACCTCCCGCTTCCACATTCCCTTGACTGATAGTGGCAATTTCAAAGGAACTCATAAACCTTGTCCAAACAGGGGGCACAGATGTCAAATTCCTATCCCAGAGCCCTGGGGGCTAGAGGCTATTGAGAAGCCTGGTAGGTGCATGGCACCCTCTGCTGGTAACATAGGAATGTGCAATCACCTGGATATAGAAAGATACTTGGTTTGGAGCCATAGGTCATAGGAATATAATGATTCAGATATAGAAGGGTCATTTCATCTTCCTCATTTTACAGAAAGATCACTTGCCCGTGATAAAAAAGGTAGCAAGTATTAGAACTTAGAATTAAACCTAGATTTCCAAATTCAAATGAATTTCTACTAATACTTATAAAGCACTTTGTAAATCTTCAAGTGCTATGTAAATTCTATCTATCTATCTATCTATCTATCTATCTATCTATCTATCTATCTATCTATCTATCTATCTATCTATCTATCTATCTATCAATCTATCTGTCCGTCTGTCTGTCTGTCTGTGTCTGTCTGTCTGTCTGTCTAGTTTCTCCTCCTCTTCCTAGTCCTTCTTCAGAGTCTGAAGTTGGTACAAGAAAAACCAGAAACCAAGGGAGAATTTTAAATTTGAAAAACTAAGAGGTAAGTGATGGGAGGGAATGTGAAAGATTGCATTTAACCTTGTAAAACAGAATTTTGCCTTGCTACTCTCCCTTCATTTCTTCCCCCTTAATTGAGGGGAGAGTCTTATGGTCGAGCCCTAGCAGTTGAGGTCTGGATAAGGATTCCCTTGCCCCCAGTATGCTCTGTTGCATCAAAGTGTAAGGAAAGGAGCACAAGGAGTCAGTAGACATAGGTTTTCCTCCTAACTTTGCTACTAACCAACTGTGTGACTTTGGACAAGAGGCAGCTAGGTGGCTTAGTGGGTTGAGCTTCAGTCAGGAAGATCTGAGTTGGAATCCTGCCTCAGACACTTACTAGCTGCATGCCCTTGGACAAATCTCTTAACCTCCCAACCTCAGTTTTCTCATCTGTGAAATGGGAATATCAATAGTTCCTTCCTCAGAGTTTGTAGTGAGGATCAAATGAGATAACATTTATAAAACACTTTGACAGCCTTGAAGTACTCTATAAATTGTAGCTATAAAGTGAGGGGTTTGTTAATCTCTAAGGTACTTTCCAGCTCTAGGAAGTGGTTTTATCCTCAGTCTAAAGGATGCCAGGAAGATCAGAACAGTTTTGGGGAATCAACCTGGTGCTCTGGTTTCCTTCTTTGAATGATTCATAACTGGGCTGAATCCTGGGCATTCCCTGTTTGTATCTCTAAACCAGAGGAAAATCAAATTGACCTCCAGTGGTAGGGAAGAGCAGGGTGTTGTATGCCTGTTCCTTGGGCTATTTTGTTCAACTGGATGCAGGACGTGAGCTGAGCAAAAAGATATGGGGAGTGTGGAATGAAGTCCGTGAGAGCAAGGTTAAGAAGGGAGTGTTCTCCAATGACCTTGTGTAGGCAGAGAGGTATTTCCGTCTCTCAGCTTCAGAATCTCAAGAGTGTAAAATCTGGAAGAAACTTTACAGATCATCTAGTCCAACACTTTAATTTTACATATGAGGCAACTGAGGTCCAGAGAGGTGTAATTACTTGCCCAAGGCCTTACCTTAAAGGCAAAACTGGGATGAAAGTCTAGGTCTTTTACCTCCCAATTTAGGGTTGTTTCTACTATGCTAATCTGCCTCTCCAATTTATACTCTGGCTAAATTAAGGGCCTACATACACTAATTTGGATTTAGAATATTAAAACCCATTCTTGGCTCCAGCCTGAAACTAAAGAAATGAAAGAGGGGAAAAGTTGTGGGGAGCCAAGATAGGAGAGACATCAGAGCATAATAGAAAGAATGCTGAACCTGGATGGGAAGGCAAATTGCCTGACAGAAGACACTGTCTCATCATTAAGCAAATGGTACCAAACCGCTTGTCACGTTAGATGATTGGAAGTAAGAAGACTTGGGTTTGAGTTTAATTCTTACCACTTAGGGGGCTTGGAAACCTTTAGTTAGTCATGACCTTCTGAGTTACAGTTGGATCATCTGTCAAATGGGGAAGAGAATAATAACACAGGTATGTCGTGAGGAAAATGCTTTGTAAATGTGACAGGGACTGGCCGATGAGGGTCCAATCCAAGGACCATGCTGACGGGACCCATGTGGATGGATGATTGGTGAGTTTGCTTCTGGAAATGTGTGATGATGCTGAATGGAGGTCCCAGCTCTCAGCTGTTTCCTGTCTGCTTAGTAATGACAAAGAGGGGCCTTTTGGTTGACTGGTGGCTGAGTTGGAACCAAAAGTGTGTGTATACCAAAGCTTCCAGTAGTCCAAAGTTGGAGGAGTCATCGGAGATCCAGTGACCAAGCTTGGGAAGATGGCATTCCTGAGGAGTGACATGCTTGACCTTGCCCAGCTGCGTTCTGATGTTGCAGCTGAGATGAACTCAGGGAACTCATCCATTAACCTTGCCAGAAGTGAAGTCAGTGACAGGAAGAATGTTTGTAGCTGCCACTTTCAGTCGGAGCCTACTCTCCCCAAGGCCTGAGGTGGTCCTTCCAACCTTTCTAGCTCTAACAAAGCCCTCCACCAAAGGAAAGAAGTTGCAAACAGGCTCCATCCCAGACACAGGCTTGCCAAGGGGGCCACATGCTCCAGAGTTAGAACATTATCCTTACTCCTTGTGTGGAGCAGGAAGGAAAAGCATGAGTTTCTCCACTGGAACCTTTGGTATACACTCTCAGTTATAGCTCAGCGGCCAGCTATGAAGAAAGCAGTTAGGGAACAGTTACAAAATACCTATGTGTGTCTAAAGTGAACAACCAGAGTCTTCCATTGTTGCATCATTCCAGAAGCAGGCTTGTCAAACATCCACATGGGTCCACTAGGCTTCCTCCCAAAGCTGGGCCTTCATTGGCCATTACATAAACCTTATTAAAGCCCTGTATAAATGTAAACTGCTGTTGATTCAGAATCAAAGTCAGTCCTTCTTTCCCTTACATTCCCTGAAGCTGTTGCTTGCTGGTTCTATGCCGCTGCGTATGAACCCCAAAGCACCTGGAAGAATATGTGGTACATAGTCTGTATTTAATGCTTGTTGATTGATTGATTATGTCTTGTGGATGCCACTGGGAACACGAACAGGGCCCAAAGCTCTACTTCATATTCCCTGCAATCTTGACTCTATGAGGGCAGAGACTAATTTTTTTTTGCCTCGTTTTGTATCCCCAGCACTTAGCATAGTACTTGGCACATAGTAGGCACTTAATAAATGTTTATTGATTGATGAACTATGGAGAATCCAATATATCCATCAGGTGGGAAAGAGATACAGATTCATTCCTTGAGTCTGCTCTAGAGGAACCTTATGGCTCCTTATGGGGGTCGAGAAGAATTTGGGGGTAAATGGAGTCAGAGACCCAGGTACTGGAGGAGAACCAAAGTATGTTCCCTCTAGCTGTGGGCAGACTGCCTGACAGACAGGGCATAGTTCACTGGGGCAGCCAGCTGGACCACACTCAGCCTGAAGGGGTAGGAGGGCTGGCTGCCAATCTTTCTCAGCAGAGAGGCCAGACTCAGGGTTAAGCAAGACACGAAAGACTTAGCTTACCACCCAGGGCTTAGAAATGGGAGGAGAGGAGAATGAGCTGAGGCTACATGGATTCTGGTTTCTTTGTGGCTTTAGAGTCATCAGCAAGGGAATTTCATGGACTGAGAAGGAAGCTCAGAGAGGGTGCCTTGGCTGTGGCCAAGGTGAGACTCTTAGCTGGGCCTCTGTTGCTTGGTCCAAGCTGTCTAGACGTTATAAGGATGTGTCCTGTTCTCCTCTCCCAATGGAGTCATTCTCTCAGTCTAACCCATGGGCTCTTTTCTTTTCAGCTGGCTCGTTTGGAGCCCTCAACCCTTAGCCAAGAGCAGTTGAGTTTCTCTGGATGAGAAATGATGCTGGTGTTGTTGATTGTGTTTCTGCTGCCCTCTGGCTGTCCTGGGCTCCCTTTCTACAATGGTTTCTACTATGGAAATGTCATGAATGACAGAAGCTACAGAAATGGCAATGGAGAAGGTGGGTGTGCCTTCTTGTTTGTACAAGGCAGGGGACTTCAATTTTGACTGTTTAACCAATCAGTCAATCAATCAGCTAACTCTTATTAAGTGCTTACCTGTAGTCTGGGCCAGCAGTTAGGTGGTGCAGTGGATAGAACCCTGGGCCTGAAGTCAGGAAGACTCATCTTCCTGAGTTCAAATCTAGCCTCAGACACTTACTAGTGGTGTGACCCTGTGCAAGTCACTTAACCCTGTTTGCCTCAGTTTTCTCTTCTGTAAAATAAACTGGAAAAGGAAATGGCAAACCACTTCAGTATCTTTGCCAAGAAAACCTCAAATGAAGTCATAAAGAGTTGGAAATGATTGGAAAATGACTTAACACAAATATTCTGGTCAATGCACTGGGGATACAAAGAAAGCAAAAACAATCCTTGCTCTCAACGAATGTACTTTTAAGAAAAAAAATGTTTTAATTTAGATCTTAACAGACATCAAATACAATTTAGAGTTCTTAAAAATTCAAAGTTGTTTGTCTTTACAATGCTGTATGATGAGAGCATATTACTCTTCTGATTTTGCATAGTTTATTTAAAAAAAGGCTTCCCAAATTTCTCTGAAGTCTTCCCTCTCACCATTTCTTAACAGTACAATATTATTTTATTACACTGGTAATTCTCAAAGGGTGTGCTGCTAGTTCCATTGGGTGTGCCATGAAATTTTGGATGTTATATTAATGCAGAAAAAAGGAGAATTTGAAATAATTTTGTGTAAAAGTGTTTTACTTATCCAACTACCACATGTAGTATGGCAAAGCACAATATTCATAAAATAAACAAAACCTGCCTATTATTTGTATGTACTAACCTCAAAGTGCATCAACCTTGAACTCACAGAGAACTCAACAAAAACAGCTGCTGTTATTTAAGGGAAACTGTGAATACTAGAGTTTTTTGACACTCCTGTAGTGTTGCCAAATTAAATGTTCAGCTCTTTGAACAAACAGTTTGAAACTAGTGCATCACATTCATGTGCCACAGTTTGTTTCTTCATTCTCCAATCAATGGGGATCTACTTTGTTTCCAGTTCTTTGCTACCATAAATGTGTTGCTGTGAATATTTTACTGTTGGGCCTCTATTTTTTTAAGTAGAAATTCATCGTAATCACAGTTCATGGATAGCTCTTAAGCCTTTCGGTTGGGCTGAAGATGTAGCTTGCCCTTAGCTCCTTACTTCCACTCTCTTCCAAGTAAGAAGGGAATCTAGTTACAGACAAAAACTTTGTGGAGCTGGTGATTGGCTAATACTTTTGGAGGTATCTTTGCTCTTAGGAGAACATTTCTTCAATGTGTCCTGTAGCTGGGCAGGGATTGGCCTGGGAGCTGGCTTCTTCTTCTAGCTGATCTCTCCCCACCAAAAAAAAAAAATCATTCCTGTTTTGAGTTATTTGGTATTTAGTTGGAAGGTTGGGTTGAACGTGTTTTCTTTTTCTTTTGTTATTGATTTTGTTTTTTTAATTTTTATCGAGAACTTTTTGTTTTGTTGTTCTTCTCCTGTCACCTCTGAGAGAGCCATCCCTTGTAACAAAAATAAGAGGGGGAAAAACAGTTTAGCAAAGCTAATGAATCCATCTAGTCTGAAAGTACATACAAAGTTCTGTACCAATACTCTCCCACCCATGCCAAGATGAAAAATGAAAAGAGGTACATTTTATTCTCTTTTCTTCTGGGTCAAATTTGCAGATTGCCTTTTTATTAGGACCTTTTGAAATGCTTCCTTAAGGGCAGCTAGGTAGTGCAGTGGATAGAGCTCCGGCCTTGGAATCAGGAGGACCTGAGTTCAAATCTGGTCTCAGACGTACAACACAAGACATTTACTAGTTGTGTGATCCTGGGCAAGTCACTTAACCCCAATTACCTAGCAAAAAGCCAAATAAATAATGCTTCCTTAGACCTTTAGTTGCTCTAATTTGAATTTTGAGTTGTGATTGCAAACTGTAGCTGTGTGATAAATAGCAAGGGACATCTTGCTTCTTGATACTGGCCTTAGATAATTCCTTACCTTGGATTCCCATCTCTCCCAAAAGGTTTCTTCAATGGGGTGAAGTTGGTGGTAGAGACACCTGAGGATCCTCTATTCACTCACCGTGGTGCCAATGTGACACTGCCCTGCCGCTACCACTATGAACCGGCGCTGACCTCCTCACGTCCTGTCAGGATCAAGTGGTGGAAACTGGGGGAGAATGGGGCCCCTGAGAGGGATGTGCTGGTGGCCATTGGGCTGAGGCACCGAAGCTTTGGGGAGTTCCGGGGTCGTGTTCATCTTTTACAAGAAAAGGAGCAGGATGTCTCCCTGGTGATCCGTGACCTGCGCCTACAGGACTATGGGCGCTATCGATGTGAGGTCATTGATGGGCTGGAAGATGAGAGTGGTGTGGTGGAGCTGGAACTGAGGGGTGAGCAACTGGGGGAGGGAGGGAGGGAGGGGGAGAGAGAGAGAGAGAGAGAGAGAGAGAGAGAGAGAGAGAGAGAGTGAGAGAGAAACAGACAGAGAGACAGAGGGAGAGTAGGGGGGTGCAGTATTGGGGTAGGGGAACCCAGGAGAAAGGGACAGGTATGGTTTGACCCTCTCTGCTCCTAGGGTAAGAATGTTTTTCAGAGTATCATGGGATTTATATCTTGAAGGGACCTTAGAGATCAGCTAATTCACCTCCTTCACTTTACAGATGAAGAAACTGAGGCCCACACAGAGAAATGAAATGATTTTCCCTGGCTTACATAGGTAGTGAGCCACTGAGCCAGGTTTCAAACCCAGGTCTCCTGACTCCTAATCTCATGTTCTTTTCACTACTCCATGTTACCTATTATACTCTTAGTATCTCAGTCTCTGCCAATGCATCCCCTAGCTAACAAGATCCTTATCTGAGCTATTATTGTGCTCATTTAACAGGTGGGGAAATGGAACCCAAGAGAGATTAAGTGCCTTGCCCAGGGTCTTTACAATTAAATGTCTGAGGCAGAATTTGAACTCAGGTCTTTTTTACTCCAAGTCCAAAACTCTATCCACTAGACCATAGTTCATAGCCCATATTTATAAAGGCCTTTTTGTATAGTATCTCATGTTATCCTCACAACAACCCTGTGGATATTATTCCCATTTTATAGATGAGGAAGTGATTTGCTCAGCTCTAAATGTCAGAAGCAGGCTTTGTGTCTAGGTCTTCTTGATTCTAAGCACAGCACATGCTGTTAGCATGTCTGACTAGACTGCTTACATGCAATTGGCATGTCTAGACTGCAGAAGTCTGTATCCTTCTTCTCCTGAAGTGAGGAGGAGAGGCATGATAAGAAGAGGTAGAGGGCTTCATAGGATGAAGGTATGGTCTTGATGTCAGAAAACCAGTTTCTAGTCCTGTTTTCACCTTGGCTGTTTACTAGCCTTGTGATTTTCATCTTAGTCACTTTACCTCTCTCTGTTTTCATTTCCTGACCTGTAAAATGGGGATAACATCTCCCCTGATGTCTTCGTAAGGTTGTCAGGATTGAATGAGATACTGTATGTGAAAGCCTTTTGAAATCTGTAAAACGCTATTAAAACACAAAGAATTATTATTGCTCTGATTCCTGGATCTGGGTCTACATGGGTTTCCTATGTATAGGGAAGCAAGTTTGGTTGGTGACAGAGGCTGTTTGCTGGACACCTCTCCTTTGTGGGAGGGAGGGCTTTCTGTATTTGAGAAGGCTTTCTGTAGTTGAGAGGGCCTTCTGTAGTTGGGAGGGCCTCTTTATAGCATCAGAGAAGTCTCTTTGTGGCCAGGGGGTCTATAATCCCCCAAGACTTGTTGTACTGAGAGCAAGGAAGAGAAAAGGAGCAGATACAGGCTTGAGAGATCCATGGGCTGGTAGGGAGTGGGGGTGGGAGGTGGTAGAATTACAAGTGGTGTGGGGGGATGGTTGGGGGATGGGAGTAGGTGGTGCCAGAGGTAATTGGAAATGGGGTGATTAGGGAGCTGGGAGTGAGTAGACTCAAAACAGTAGATAGGAGAGAAGAGGATATTAGATGGGACAAGAGAAAATAAAGTAGATGGGGGTCAGATGTGTGGGCTGTGTGGTTGAGGGCCAGACAAGTTGTGAGATGAGAAAGGAACCTTTGTCTTCTCCATCCCCTCACCCAGACCTCCTTTCTTCCCCAGTCTACACATCTTATTCTTGGTGTGTGCTGCCTTAGGCTTGTCTAGTTGTTTAAATTTCTTGCTTTAGGATGTAACCTGGAGCTTGTGGTAGAAAGCCAAATAAAAGTCATGCAGATTCCTCAGAGATCAGGCCACTAGGCAGAGTTTCCAGGCTCTTAGGCCACTGCTGATGGTGCCCTACTGCTTCCTAGAAAAGAACAAAAGTTGCCTAATGAGGTCACTTGAACGGGTAGGGGTAGAAAATGAGGGCTAATTCTGCCCTCTAGTTGGGGGGTGAAAACTGCCAGCACTGGATTCCTGATCTGATCACTCAATGGAGGCCCTTCTCAGGACCTAGAGACCCTCAGGGTTGAGACAGAACCATAACCCATCATCCTTGCAGCATTTGCTTCTGTCTCTCCTCTGTTATCCTCCCCATGTACTTTCTCCCACTTCATTCTCTCCACTGGTTTCTTTGACCCTCATATTTTCTCGTATCATAGATACCTACTCTTTCTACTTCCTTCACTCCCAATTCATTCTGCTAATGTATAGCATAAAGAGTAAAACTCTTCTCCCTTCCTTCACCCTTTGTGCATCAGTTTCTAGTTCAGATAGTTCACAAGGACCTCCTAGCCATCCTGACCTCAGGCTCGTTTTCTTCAGTCCTGACTCATCCATCCAACTCTTCCCTTGGTCACGACTCTTCTCCTTGCCAGGTGTCGTGTTTCCCTACCAGCCACCCCATGGTCGCTATCAGCTCAACTTCCAGGAGGCACAGCTGGCCTGTGAGAAACAAGATGCCGTGATGGCCTCTTTTGAGCAGCTCTTCAGGGCCTGGGAAGAAGGACTGGACTGGTGCAATGCAGGCTGGCTGCTGGACGGGACAGTGCAGTATCCCATCACCCTGCCTCGGCAGCCATGTGGGGGGCATGGCCTAGCAGCTGGGATCCGCAGCTACGGGGAGCGTCACGAGAGACTGCACCGCTATGACGTCTTCTGCTTCTCTTCCTCTGTGACAGGTGGGTGCCCCCTGGGAGATCCTCAACTTTTCTCTGTCTTTGTCTGGTCACAGGGGTCTGAGGAGGCTTTCCTGGATCAGATCGGAGGTGGGTGTAGGGGCTGGGTGACACTGGTAATGCTGTAGCATGGGAAACTCAGGCCAGAGGCTATGCCAAGAGTCTCTAACTACTAAATCAGAATCATAGATCAAAGAATCATGGATATTATATATTGTATCATATTTTTATATGTGTGTATATATAGAAATATATACATAGAAGTACGTATTTAGAAATATATATTTAGACAGCTATAGAAATAGCTATTTTGAAATATATGTAGAAATTTATACATTTAGAAATATAATATATGTGTTTATCTATATCTATATCTATCTATATGTCTTGTTTGTACATCATTATTTGAATATTGTTTCCCCCATTGGGGGAACCTTTGAGAGCAAGAACTGTCCTCTGCTCTTCTTGTGTCTCCCACACTTAACACAGTGCCTGACACACAGTAGGATACTTAATAAATGTTTGTAGACTTGTTGGATTAATAATAATAAAAATATTAGTGACGACGATGATGATTAATAAGGGGCATTGATAAGTGCTTTAAGGTTTGCAAAGTGCTTTACTAATCTTATTTCATTATCTCATTTGCTCCTCTATCTAAATTTTGTATCTTCCTCAGTGTGCTCTGCATGCAGTGGGTGTTTAATAAGTGCTTACTAAATTGAATTGAATTATGATCCCTGCTGTGCTGATTGCTTTAATGCTCATGACTCTCCCCCCACCTCCATCTCCCCACAGGACGGGTATATTATTTGGAGCACCCAGAGAAGATGACGCTGGCTGAGGCACACGAGGCCTGTCAGGAGGATGGGGCTCGCATTGCCAAGGTGGGGCAGCTCTTTGCGGCTTGGAAGTTCTACGGCCTGGACCGCTGTGATGCAGGCTGGCTGGCTGATGGCAGTGTCCGCTACCCTGTCACCCGTCCCCGGCCTAACTGTGGATCCCTTGATCCTGGCGTGCGAAGCTTTGGCTTCCCTGACGAGGAGAGCCGGAAATATGGGGTCTATTGCTACCTACAGAACTAGGGCTACGGGGCTGGCCTCCCTTGGCCCGGGCCTTGCACTCTCTCCTTTTTCCTCCCTCCTTCCCCCTGCTCCCCATCAGGGCTGGTATATTTATTGAAAGTCTCATTTTCCCTGGGGGTTGAGGAGATTTAGATGACTTTTTACATTTTTCAACAATTTGTTTAAACAACAATATTTTTATTATGTGTTTTTTAAAGCCAAAAGAGGAAATTGAATTTTACTAAGACCTGCCTTCTTACATGTCTTTCTTACTTCTGGGCACCCAGGGCACTCAGTAGGAGCATAGACTCTTAAAGCTCAAAGGAACTTCAGAGATCATCTAGTCCACTTGCGTCATTTTGTGGATGAAGAAATGGAGTCCCAGAGAAGGGAAGTGACTTGTCTAAGGTCACACAGCAAGTTAATGACAGAACTGGAATTAGAACCCAGATCTCTAGACTCCTTGTCCACAGCTCTTTAAAAGTACCCTGGTTCTCCCTTTTCCTTCTGTTGATGGAAGTGGGGGCTATTCCTTATGTGAGAGGAAAGGAGAGATGCGGGGGTGGGGGGGGAGCCTATCCATCTTATGCTGACATACAACAAGACAGGGGACTCTGAAATCAAGAATTTGGACAGCTCTTGCTAGCTTGGCCTTGTGCCTCTCACACTTTCCTTTGCTCCTCCCATTTCACGGGGAACCATTCTCGTCCAGGTGAGTCCGAATCAGTCCATCCAAGAAGTCGATGCTTCAAACAACATCCCAAGCTCCACTTCTATGCCCGGTCCAAGGATTTTTGTGTCTTACTCTCATTTTCTACTTCCTTTCTGGGGAACTGCCATTAGGTCCATGTTTTCCAAGAGCTATAAATGGTGCTATGACTTTTTAGACAAATTCTAGTTCCTTCTTGGTCCTTTTTCCTCCCTTTGTCTCTACCTACACTTTTTTTTTGACTGAACTGGTACTGTTGTACCTCTTGCTCCTTGGTGAGGTATGGCTGTAGGGAATAATAAGAGAGAAAGAATCAGGGTGCCCACGTGTGTGCATATTTGCGGGCAGTGGGTTGAGAAAGTATGGGAGAATTACTGCTCCCCTGAGTTGGGGGCTGCTGCCATGGAAATGTTTTCTTAAATACATACAATAAATTTGTGAAACAAAGAGATGGTTCTGAAGGGAGGAGTGAGTGGGGAAAGCCCCTGCTGTCTTAGTGAATCTTTGCTGCTGCTGGAGGCTGGATTCTAGGGTCAGATTTGTTTTTATTACATCTTCACCCAGAGCTGCAACTGTCAGCTGAAGACATCTTTAGGGTCTAATTACAGACTCACTCTTTGCTCCTGGAGACACGTAATACTATAGTTATTCCCTCCACATCATAGGGTTTAGGAGTATGGCGCCCCCTCAATCTGGAAAATCTGGGTAAAATTTTTTGGCCCTTCCTTAATACCGGAAAAGAAGTCTGAATTATTATGGTATTAAAAGATAAAATATATTGATATTATATAACACCATACATTTATTTTATGCATTTCTGAGTTTCTAAACCTTTTCTGTGTCATCTGCTGACCTTTGTGTGTCATCTGTGGCTTCCACAAAACTCCCCTAAAATTCCCATTAAATTTCTTATGCTGACCTAGGAGATATCAAAATCTCTGTGGAGAAAGTCAATGTGAAAGAGATAAGTGAATATAGAAATTCCCTTTTTTTGATTATAGTAAAAAAATTAGAAAGGGAGGGGTTCAAGCAGAGAACCAAGTGTGGCCAGTGTTCTACTTCAGACTCAGTCCTGAGTATTTCTAAGACCACCTGGAGGGTCCTCTCTCTCTGCTCTCCCCCACTTACCTTCTGTGGGCCCCAGAAATCAAATGTGAAGGATGGATTCAAATTCTGATCTCCATTTACTGCAAATATTCCTCTGTGATTTCTCCCCCTTTTTCTTCTCAGTGTCTAATCCTTTCCATATACCCCTTCCAAGTGCATATACCAACTTCCTTAAGTACATTCTGTACTTAAGCACTGTATAAAGCCCAGTTCACAACCCCTCACCATAATCTTGCTTCTTGACCTGACTATGAATCCATGAAGACACACACACAGATATGCATATCCACACACACATATTCCATCATGTGAGCCTCAGTTTTCTTATCTGTAACATCAGGGGGGTGGATGAGATGACATGTCATGTCTCTTCTCTAAATCTTTAGTTCTCTGGCGCCATTTCTTAAAATATAAGGGAAAAAAAAGGACTCTTCCAATTTTTTTTATTATCATCATTGTCAGTTTTCAAAAATATAAATAGGTGCATGGAACCATGGTGGCCTGCACGGTCCCGGGGGGGGGGGTGTGACGCTGGAACCTTGGATCAGGAGTGCCCCCCAGCCCTGCTGTGACACTGGCTGTGACGGCAAATTGGTGGTGAGAGGAAGCCAGAGAAACTAATTAGTCATAGAGTGGAACCAGCCCCAGAACCCATCCTCCTTTGAGCTTCTCCTTCCATCTTGCCCTCCCCATGCACCTTCCTCCCTCTTCCCCCTCCCCTCTGACTCCTGCCCTTATCACCGACCCCCTACCCCTTCTACCCCTTCACTTCTGATACATTCAACTACAGTTCACTAGTACAGTATTCTCCAAGTCCTCTGGCTCTGGAACATCCGTGTGATCCCACTCTCCCTCTCCCTCTGCTAGCCCTTCTTGGAGATTAAATAACAAATAATTACATTGTTCTTGGATAAATCAGGAAACAAAAAATAATCTTCTTTATTTAACTTAACCCCCTCCCCGTGTCCCCTCCTCCCCCCGTCCCTGCCCTGGTCCCTGAAATAGGCACAACATGAAACTGAAGGAAAGTACCTAAACTCAGACTGTGGGGAAAAAATATGTGACTGCAATCTAGTTTTTTGCTTTAGCGCTCTGTGAAAAGAAAATAAAACAAAATATTTTGGGGGATGATTTTTTGGGGGTGGGTATATACATGACGTGGGTTTTTTTTCCTTTTTAATGTAATTCCTTATATGACAGAAAGCAACAAGAAGGTGACAATGACTCCATGAAATAGTGTCAGTTCCGTAAGGTCTGTCGGCTCGTTCTGTCCTTTTTGGTTCTCTGGGGGGGATTTTCCTGTCTAGTGGGCTGTGCTGTGGACGTTGCTGCGCTGAGGCTGAGAGTTCCGCCTTTGTAGTCGTCGCTTGTAGGTGGTAGCTGTGGGATACGAGGAGGACATAGTGATTATTCAGTGGAGGGAGGACGTGGTGGGTCTACTCTACCCCCATCGGTGGTTCTCGTCCATCTAGTTCACTCCCCTTGGTCCTGGTTTCTATTTGGTGATAGCAACTTCTACTGGGATCTCTGGGCTTTGCTTTTCCCCGAAACCTACCAGACCTATCAGGTCTCAGCCATAGTTAACAGACAGGTAGAAAATCTCTCCTTCATCTTTTGTGTCATATATATAAACATCCTCATAGATACTATGTTCCCGATATGATTCTGTTCAGCTTTATGGATCTATCGGGTCCTGGGGCCAAAGAAGGCAGATGGGATTCCAAGAAAATTCTTGGCAGAGGAAAGAATGTTGGAATTGGAATCACAGGATCTGGGTCCCAATCCTGACCCTGCCACTTACTATGGGTACCACCTTGTACAAGTCATTAATCCTGTCTGGGCCTCAGTTTACTCATCTATAAAATGAGGGGTATATCATGTGATTTAGAGCATTTTGTCATATGACTAAAGATAGCTTCGGTTATTTCATCTGAAAACTTCCTGTTCATATCCTTTTACCATGTATCAGGTGAGGAATGGCCCTTATTTCTATAAATTAAGCAAAGATATTTTTGAAAGGGCTCAGGGCTTCTGAGTAGAGCTCTGGTTAATGAGGACTTCCAGATTAATCTTGGACTGCACCAAAATACAGCCACTTCTGGGATGAGATGGGTAAAGGAATGCAGAGAAGGATGATAGAGAACAGATCAAAAGTATACAACATGTATGCCTAGTATGCCTAGATGACCTTTAAGATCCCCTTCCAGCTCTAATTCCATAATCATATTTTTCTATGACTCCCTATCCCCATTTTTTTTTCTAAGTAGGAACTGGTACATTTTCAAAAGTAAAATTCTAGAAATTCTGGAGGAAGGATGCCTAATGCTGAAATTCTTAATTCTCTGTGTTTAATCTATTGATCAGATCCTCCCAGGATAGTATGGGAGAGGAAGGAAGCAGTGGGTGAACAGAAACAGCCAGTACTTACGGTCTATGCAGGCTATCTGTGGCTCTTCCCAGTTTCCACTAGGTAGGCATCGGATTGTGGGCACATGGCGCTGGACAAAGCCCTCCTTGCACTGGTATCGGACCAATGAGTTGATTTCATACCGATCCTTTTTCTGTCCAAAGGTCCTAGCATGTTCGACTGCAGGAGGGTCTCCACAAGCCACTGTAAGATTGAGAAGGTGTGGTGAAGCAAAGATATACATTTTTAATTTAATATTTTATTTTTTTCCCCAATAACATGTAAAAATCATTTTTAACATTCATTTTGAAAAATTTTTGAGTTCCAAATTCTCTCCATTCTTCCCCTCCCTCCCTCATTGAGCAGGAGAGGAATTATATATATATATGTGCAGTCATGCAAAACATATTTCCATGTTAGTCATGTTGTGAAAGAAAACACAGATTTTTTGAAAAAACAAGAAAAATAAAGAAAGTAAAGAAAAGGTATGCTTTGATCCACATCCAGACTCCATCAGTTCTTTCTCTGGAGATGGATAGCATTTTTCATAAGTCCTTCAGAATTGCATTGGATCATTGCATTGCTGAGAATAGCTAAGTTATTCACAATTCATCATCATACAATATTGCTATTACTGTATATAGTGTTCTCCTGGTTCTGCTCATTTCACTTTGCTTCAGTTCACGTAAGTCTAAGTTTCTCTGAGAACATCCAGCTTGTCATTTCTTATAGCATATTAGTATTCTATCACAATCATATATAACAACTTGTTCAGTTATTCCCCAATTGATGGCCAACCCCTCAATTTCCAATTCTTTCCCACCACATAAAGACCTGCTATAAATACTTTTGTATTTTTTTTTATTTGTATAAATATTTTTTATTTGTATTTGTATTTTTTGTATTTTTTTTATCTTTTTGGGATGTGGACCTAGTAGTGGTATTGCTGAGTCAAAAGGTATGCATGGTTTTATAGCCCTTTGGGCATAGTTCCAAATTGCTCTACAGAATGACTGAATTATTATACAACTTCACCAACAGTGTATTAGTGTCTCATTTTCCCCACATCTCTTCCAACATTTGTCATTTTCCTTTTCTGTCATATTAGCCAATCTGATAGATATGGGGTGGTAATTCAGAGTTGTTTTAATTTTCATTTCTCTGGACAATAGTGATTTACAGCATTTTTTCAAGTGACTATAGATAGCTTTGGTTATTTCATCTGAAAACTTCCTGTTCATATCCTTTTACCCTGTATCAGTTAAGGAATGGTTCTTATTTCTACAAATTAAGCAAAGATATTTTTGAAAGGGCTCAGGACTTCTGGATAGAGCTGTGGTTATTGAGGACTTCCAGATTAATCTTGGACTGCACCAAAATACAGCCACTTCTGGGATGAGATGGGTAAAGGAATGCAGAGAAGGATGATAGAGAACAGATCAAAGGCACACAATATCTATGGGACTAGAGGCAAGCCACTTAACCTCATTCGGTCTTATTTTCTTTATCTGTAAAATGAGATCTGGGCTATGTGAACCCTTGGGCCCCTTCCAGCTCTACCAGTCCAGTCTTCTATGATCTCTTGTGAAGTGAGTCACTGCTGGCTCTGGTGTTTCGCTTGCTTTATCTCTTTCACCTGATATTTCTTCTGTCAGACTCTCTCTCTGCTCATCCATGTCTGATTTTCTTCCAGGCTCAGTTCAAATCCCATCTCCTCTTTGAAGCCCTCCTTGACTTTATTACACACTGATGCTACTTTATATACTTTTCTAATTCTTTGATTATAATTTATGCTCCTCAAGATCAAAGTCTAGATTTTCTACCCCTATTTCCCTCAAAGAACCCTGGCTAGATAGTGCTGGGCACAGAGTAGGTAACACAGAAAACATTTCTTGATTTAGTCTAGGTAGTCCAGAGCCTCCCTCAAAAGTGTTCTCCTGTATTCAGACTCTGAGATAACATTTCACCTGGAAGGTAGTTTAAAAAAAGGGATATTATTTCAGCATTTGGTTCAGTGCAAATAGGGGCTTAGCTCTGGGAACAGAACAGAATCCTGGGTGAGTTCCTGGCAGCTGAGTGTCTGAGCAAATGGACCCCTTATTGTGGAATTTTTGTCTGGATTCCTTTGGGATTTAGGAGAGTATGAATAAATGCTCATATGCTTCTCCCTTTTCAAATCATAGCCAGAAGATTACAGGTACAGAGCTGTAAGGGCACTCAGAGGCCATCTAGTTC